GCCTAAATCCCTTGATATAAATTCTCTGTTTTTGAAGGAAGACTCCCAAAGCACCGCACATGTCCCACAGATGAGAGCTCGAGAGTTCACTGTGCCCCGCAAGCCCCTTGAGCAGGGTCGCCTGCTTTCATAGTCCTGAAAAACTCAGTGGTAAATTCTGTGTGCTGCTAAACTGGGTATAGTCTAGTCTTCCTTTTATTAGCACTTACTCCAAATGTCAGAAAACAAGCCTGAAACTTTAACTAAGTTAAAAGGTATGATGATACTGAAATAAATATTTCTAATGGATAAAAGTATTCACCGTCTTCAAAGAAAACTTACTTTTCATATGGGCATGAATGAAACAAAGAATATATTGAAGCTCTATCACGGGAACAAAATGGATAATATGTAAATTAGAATTTCAAAAAGAGTTCTTTATATTTTTAATTTCCAATTCAAAAGCTCCTTTAAAGCACCAAGCCTTCAGAAGGCACAGAAAGTACCTGCCCTCCAGAAGCTGCCCAGCGCTCACACCTCTGCCTGTGCCTCGTGTTCTCCCGTGCTTCGCGCTTTCCCGCCCCGCAGACCTGGCTCTCCTCAAGGCCTGAGGAGGCTCCGGCCGGGGCTGCCACGGGGCTGGCGGCTGCCGCAGGGGCTGGGGCCGCAGGTGCCTGGGGCTCGTGGTGCTTTAGGGGCCCTGTCCCTGGCCTTGTCACAGCCCCTGCGCTCTGTGTGTCTGCAGGAGCCACTTTCCCCGCTATTCCCTCCTCACCAAGGCCTCCACACCGTCGTTTTTTTCTGCAACAGCATTTTTTTTCCTCAGAAGCCACTGCAACTTGTATACCCCATATGTACTGCTAGTTTCATAGCTGAATTCTGGTCCTTCCTTAAACAAATGCTCTTAGTTCTGCTTCGTACATAGCAGCTCCATCCTTCTCTCAGGACCTAGGCATGCATTTGGCGTTTGAATGGCAAGAGAGATCTCTGCTGGCACTTTGAGATCTCTGCTGTTACCTGTGAGCAGCCCATGGCTCTGCTGAACGGAGGAAGTCCCTTGAATATCTGAAATCCCTTTCTGTGATCAAAGTGTGCATTTCCAGTGTGCAGTTACTGATCTAGGTTGCTTTGAAGCTTGCATACGTGAGGTTACTCATCTGTAATCACCTGATGATAATATAGGAGCTTTTGCACCACTGTTTCTCAGTAATAGAAAAGCTCATTTACTATATTCAAACTATTCTGCTGTTTGTATAGTAGCTGCATGCCGGACTGGCAAGATTAGAATTTAAAAGTAATAAAGCTCCTTTACAAGCTCTATCACCAGGGTCCTTCTCTACACTAAAATTCCAGGTGATTGATCAGTGCCTCCAGTAGCCAGAAAGAGAGTGTAGAATGGAGGTCTGTGGGCATTGAGGATGACTCGGTGAGAGTTGTCAATACTGAAAAAAATAAGATCGCTTCAATTTGTAAAGGTCTGGTATTTTTGTGCATAGACCTGAGAAATTTTTTGCTCAACTCCCATACCTTCTAGTCGGAGTAGGAAACAGTGTAATTGCTTTCAGAGAGGGAAGAGGGGGACATATATACATATATGTGTAAATGTATATATGTATATGTGTATATATTAGATTTCAAAGTGCCTATATTTGACAGAACTACTTCAAAACATTTTAATAAAGCAGGTATTAGCAGAGGAGGACCTCTAGGATACTCATATTATTCGGCTCTTCTGGGACATGAGTTTAATAAAAAAGTACTTCAAAGGGCTTTTTTTAAGTATAGGATGTTTTAGGCCTATTTAAAAATATTTAAATATGCCATATTTGAAATAAAGCATGTTTTTAAAATGCTTCAGTAAGCTATTTATAGTGGGTAGGCTGGGCAAGTGCTGCAAAAGGAGCAGCTTTACGAAGGGCTCCGCAGGCGCCGGGCAGCAGCGCGTTGGAGCCGCGGGAAGGCCCCTGGGCCAGGGACTTGCTCATCGTCCCATTAACCTGATTCGCCACGTGGCGAAGCAGGATCTTGCCCTCCGAGTATCTTTTGCTCGATTTCAGGGGCTTTTGGAGAGCTCAAAGCCTGTGTTTGTGTACGTTAGAGCCATCGCTTCTGGCGTTTTAGGTTTTCTTTTGACTGGATGTCCGAAGCGAGGCTGGTTGTCGCTCGGCGTCGCTCGCCTCGGGCGCCCCGCGCGCCCAGTCCGAGCCCGGTGAGGGGCCCCGTGACCCCCTGCACGGCCACTGTCTGCGAGGGACCAGGGCTTGCCCTGCAAAGCACTGGAAATGTCCCAGGGTCACACAGGGAAAACTGGAAATACCGGCTCCTAAATCGATTTTCACATATTTCAGGGCCCTGCACGACAATGTTTTGTCTCGTGAAACCAGAAGCCGTTAGTAAGTTTATCTTAAAACTGCCTCTCGCCGGCTGGGAATTCAGCTTTCAGAGTGCATAAGCCATGGGTAACGTTTTTCAGTCACTGAGGTATTTTTGGGGTTCAGAATGGTCAGGATAGGGAGGAGGTGATAACGGGAATGTAGAGTTGCACGGGGCAAAAGCAAAAGAAAGAAAGCCAGAAATGAGCGCACCCGTCCCGGGAAGAAAAGGGAGATTTTTCTAAGGCAATCTTAGGTGATGTGAAAGCAGAGATTCCTGGCTTTGGGTAATGGAGAGGAGCGGTTTGAGATGTGAGCCATGTTTTGTAGCTGTGTGAGAAACCAGCACCGATGGGCTGTGGAAGGCATGGGGTTACGGGACAAATAAGGTTATTTATAATTATATGTCAAGGCTTTCTGTTGATATATATCAGAAAAGTTAATATATATTTATGTATGTATATGTATCAGAAAAGTTAATATAGCTAGAACATACATCCTTGCAATATATGTATACTAGTTGTATTAACTTTTAAAAAGTTGCTCTAAAATGTTTATGAAGTTCTTAGTTCATACTACGGAAAATGAAAGTTGTCCTATCTAATTGTCCTGAGTTTTGTGCTTGTAGATTCAGTATTAGGCATCATTCATTTAAGATGCTTAATTCAGTGCTATAAGAAGTGATTTTTTTTTAAAATCAACCTTGAATAGTAGCAGATAAAGTAGTATAAAGCTTTTTTTTTTTCCCCCTCCAAAATACAGCAAGGAAATAAAATATTAAGACAATTATATAAATACTCTGGTCTTAGGCTCTCTAAATAATCATGTTGATGTAACAGCGAGTCAAATGATTTCCGTGTGTGTGGTTTTCTTAGTTTAGTTAGATGAGTACCACTGATACTCATGCTAGAGTTCTCCTTTGCCGTATATAAAATATAAATTGTATTTGGCTTTAAACTTTGCATTTAAAACTCAAGGGAAGAGAGAATGGGAACTAGAGGGGAATGGGAATGCAGAGAAAACGTTAGCACTGAAATTTAGCAAACTGGGTAGGGAAATGTTGAGTTGTAAGTTCAGGAAAATTATGAACAACTTATTTTCCTACACTTTTGTTTTTTGAATGAGGATGTTACTAGTATAAACAAGGATTTTTCTTTTAAAGTAAAAAAGGAATAGTATAAAAATACAGTTTCTAATGGTTCTGAATCTGTAAAAGCCAAGCGATGCTGCAGCGCGCGCTGCTGCTGACCCCCCCGGCGCCAGCAGCGGAGGTTGCGCAGGGTGCCGGGCAGTGGGTGCCGCCGGGGAGCACCCAGCGCTGGGGCGTCGCTTGGAGCACCCCGAGGGCCGGCCAGGCCCGCGTCCTGGTGGGGTGTGTGGCCGGAGGCATCTTCACGGGCCCTCCTGGCCCTGCAGTTTTCTTCCTCTTTTAGGCTGGTTAAGTTCTGCAGTGCACCTTCTGCTTCCCGAATGATGTATTTACTGATACTCCAGGATTGTGATTATGGCCCTGGGCATCACCTCATAGAGTACTTAGTCATGTAATGCATGTGAAACTTTTCCCTAAAATTACTAAATAACTGAATATTGTTGTCTTGCGGTTAAATAAATGCTTAAAATATATCTGATTCATCAAGCTGTTCCTCAATAGCTTTAGTATCTGTTGACAACGATGATGCCAGAAGTTTTTTCTTGAGATAATGAAGAGTTTTAGAATATACAAGTAGGAAGGAAAACCTTTTAAATGATCTCCTGGTTGCCTGATTACATAATATTTCAAGTGTGATTTAGCTGACCTGGTATTACCAATGTTTGACCCCATGAATGTTTGTAAATATGAGCAGCTTGATGATTTTTAAATGGAGAATATTGGAAGTATTTACCAATGTACTGTAGTTCAGGCAATGGAGAGCTTTCTAAGTTTATTTTATAGGCTGGGCTATAAAAAGTTTTAAAAGGAATCCTTTCTAAAGCTAACATAATAAATAATTTACTGAGGTGATTAACTATGCATATTTGGTATGTCCACCCTGTGGTCTTGAAGTCCCTTCTGGCATAGCCTGTCACTGCGGGCGGTTGTAGTCGACTTTATTTTCTCTACAGTATACAAAGGGATTTCTGATAGTCATAAGTTGCAAAATTCCTGAATTGTTGTCTTCAGTCTCTGTAAATTCTTACTCGTGTGTTATAGCTTGGGTTTGGTGTCTTCTTTCTCTTTAGATCAGGCTAAAAGAAATAAGTGTTTTCCTGGGCTTGACTTCAATATGTTTATTGTTAAACTGTGCAGAACGCTTTCGTATGGAGCCTCCGCCTACAGATTTATCTTAGGTTGCAAATGAAAATTCTTATTTGGGGGAAAAAATAGGGCTATTCACAAGAGAGCTTAATGGTTTATAATTTAGCTAGAGGTTATTGTTTGTAAATATGTATTAAAAAAGTCAGATCTGAATCCATAATTCCACATAGCCGTGTTTTCTGTATCCACTGTTGTCAGTCTGATTCATGCTTTGTGTTTTCTATTAGTTTGATTATTGCTTCTAGTAAATCTCCGTTCTTGTACAGTTTATTTCCTTTGACAGTTCAGCTCTTGGGAGATGAAGGATTTATTTATACTGTATATATTCAAAATCTTTGCTTTCTTTATTTCAGCTATCTAGAAAAGTATGAGAAAGTCCATCATTTTGGGGAAGAGGATGATGAGGTACAACCAGGCAATCCAAAGCCACAACTTCCCATTGGTGCAATTCCAACATCCTATAACTACCAGCAACACAGTGTGTCAGGTAAATTTTTGGGCAGGGGTGGAAAAAGCTCTTTTTTTGTTTTGTGTGTTGGAATATGGTGCAGTAAGAAAGATATAGCTTAATGTGCAAAATTACTAAAACTATCAATCTGCAGGACACTCAGATTATTAATTTAATATACACAAAACCTTTCTGCTATGAACCAAAGTACAAATACATACAAAAATCCATGAGCTGTTTCACTACTTTCCAGAAGTTTTTCTTTCTAATTAGAAGGGTTAAGTAGTTGTTACATTGAAGCAACACATCCTGAAAATTCACAGATTTTGTTTCTGTCAGATGAATTGGATACTCAATTTGTATATTTGGCTCTGCAGAGAAGTGATTAATTAAAGTTTAAAACCTGAGGAACCAAACCTGTATGTAAGGCATTCCGAATCACACCACTGTCATTTACAAATGGAAGTTGAATCTTGAGAAGAACCATAAACAAATCGGAAGCCGGGGGATTCTGTGGAGTGGAATTGTAATTAGTTCTGTAGAAAATAACTCAGAATTATGTTACAGCTCAACTCTGCTTCAATGAAAAGTTTGTGACTTCAAAGCTGTTCTCTGGGAGAACAGACTGTAGTGTTGCAGCTGGGAGATGGTGACGGAATTTGTATCCAGCTAAACAGGCCCACAACTGCGTAGAATGTGCTTGGTATTCTGGCCAAAGGCAGAGAGAACAATCATGAAATACAGTAAAAGCTTGTTAAAACACACAATGCTTTATTAATAAACTAATTTTTCCTATTTGTCATTCATAATAATATTGCTTAGTGTGTCACTTGAATATTAATTTCTTAGTCTAGCTGTGGAGACATTGTTTTAATCTTTTCTTTCTTACTTAGATTTCCTTCGACAAAGTTATGGGCTGTCTATGGACTTTAACTCACCAAATGACTATAATAAATTGGTGCTTTCACTGTTATCTGGACTCCCAAATGAAGTGGACTTTGCAATTAATGTATGTACTCTTCTTTCAAATGAAAGCAAGCATGTCATGCAGCTTGAAAAGGACCCTAAAATCATCACTTTATTGCTCGCTAACGCCGGGGTGTTTGATGACAGTAAGTATTTAATAAACATTTTCTGCAACAGAAGCAGTTCCACATCTTGTTTATAGCATCTGCTTACTTCTTCCACAACCCTTGATAGTCAAAATATTTATAATCTTATTACACTGCAATGTACTTAAATATGTAGCTTTCCATTATACCTCCACAGTCATAGCTTATATCTGAGTCAGAACAATCTGAATACCTTTTAAATTACGCAATTTGAAACAGTATCATGTAGTAGTGTAGAGAAATATAAGAGTTTTTCATTAGTAGAGTTGAATTATTCAAGATGCTGCAATTCACAACATTGTTACAACATTGTCTCTACTGGTTCTAATACTTCAGTGTTTTCTCTGAATTTGTAGAGCCATATTTTGTTTGCTTTTTAAATACTGTTTTGGTGGCAATCACAAATTAAAAAAAGGAAGTCTACAAACAATGGCCCACTAAAGATTTTATTCTGGTGCTTCACTTTCAACTCTAATGAAATTTAGAAAAAAAAAGTCCTAGAGTAAATTATTTTACCCTGGCTCTTACAGATCCTTAATATATCAGCTCTTCTGGTTTTGAAGAGAGTCAGTTCCACAAAAGTATTTCAGCAAGTGGAATTAAATTCTTCGGTTTGAAGTACTCAGGGTGGCCTCCATGCTGAGGTGTTCCTGATAATTCCTTGTCTGCATTTCTTTCTAAAAGAGAATGAAAACAAGTTGAGCTAAACCACGCTCAGATCATAAAAGCCCAGGTCCTATTGCACAGTCATGAGGAGAAAGTACTTACTGTTTTTATGTCCTGATCTTTGATATTGCTATATTATTGCTATAAGAAACTGCTGAAATAAGTATTTTTATAGCTACAAAGCATTCAAGCCTGGGAGTGCAGCCGATGAGTTGTGTTTGTTGAGTATAAATCTGCTTTGCGTGTGCAAGCACGAGCACAGTGAGGTGCGTCAGATGCGGGTTTTAAATGCAGGGAAGAATCTGTTTGATCCTATAGGCCACTCTTTTGGATTATAAGCATTTTTATCTAATGATTTGTAGCTCTTCTTGTTCCCTGTTGTTGGTGGTGGGCTGGTTGGTTGGTTCTTTGTTTTTACCATGTTGCCCTGGCCTTCTCCAGCCTTTTTGTCCCTCAAGTTTTTTGGCTTGTGCCCAAACGCCTCACATGTGATTAGGTCTCAATCATACGATAGTTGGTAGCCAGCCCAGGCACAGGAACTTGGAAAGAAAATACCTGAAGGGAAACTGCAGCTCACCTTAGTGCACCTGTATGAGGGATTGCAGGATGCTGCCTTGTTTTTGGCAGCATTTTGAGTTTGTTGCCTCTCCACTGTTTCCCTGATGCAACTTTTATGTCCTTAGGATTCTGTAAATAGAACTGAAGCAGGTTTTGTGCTGTTATACTGTGATTTTTTGGATGGTACAAAAATTGACAGTGCTTTCTTAGATTCGGAATTGGGACTACAGGCCCCGAGTTGTTCCGTAGCTGTCCTGCGTAAGTGTCCTTTGTTCTGAAAAATCCTCGGGATAGAGTCCAAGAGGAGTGCCAAGCATGTAATGGACTTGCTCTTTTTTTCACTGGGGAATTATCATTTTCTTCTTGTGTGATACATCCAGAGCTCTGAGCTTCTGCAGAAACCTAGGGAATGACCTAGCAGCCCTTTCCCCTTATTCCCGTGGCTTTTGCCAGGGGTGGAAAGTTGTAGTGCCAGGAGATGCTGCGATTTAACAGAAACCCCTTCGCATTCCCAGTTCCTCAGCTGTGATCACTCACACAAGATGCTCTTACCTGTTGCCTCCTGAAATCTGTTGCTCCTTAGAGCAGAGGTGGGGTGTTTTGGTGTTTCTTAGAGTGTGGTAAGCCTGCAGGTTTTATTTTTATTTTAGAGTTTCAAACTACTTGGGAGAAATTGGGGGGGGGGGAAGAACTATGGAGGTAACAGGTTTTCACTGCATGAAGCATCAATTTTAATGTTCATGTGCTTTTATATTACAAGTAATCATAAATCTGTCCAGGTTGTGATCAATTTAGTGTTTAATCTGTAAGTAGCAAATTAAAGTTGGTATGAAAATACTGTCATGATGATACAGTAATTTCAGGTGTAAATAAATGATAGCTTGTTTGTTTTACTTAAAGTTAATAGGAGTTTTAGGTCTGTCTTATCTGTAGTAAAGTTATATCGTTGTTCATATTGACAATACAGTGTTTATATGTAACATAAAAATGGAACTTCTTAAGCTTTCTTTAATTTTATTTTCGCCTACTCTGAGAAGACCCTTACACTGCATGTGATAGAAGAGCCATGAGGTTTGTGGGATGGGCAACATCTTAAATGTGCAGTGCTACAAATGCCTAAAGCTTTGGTTCTGTTAAAGTTGAAAGTTGATTTAGTCTTTTAAGACTAAACTTGCAGTATTTTGCTCAAAATAATGAATTGCTATGAAGCAGAATATTTAAAAGAAACTTTGGGCCATTGAATCACTACAGAACCATTGCAGCACAGAGTTATTTTTAGGTTGACTGAATCTGTATTTGCTGCTTTAAAGAGTGAAGAGTTAGAATAGCTGTGGTAGCAGCTCCACCAAACATCCCAAAACATCCATTACTCTTCCCAGGTAAATATTGACACTTGCAATTGAGTAATGTCAAAATCTTGCTGCTGCTCTTGTGGTTTTCAGAAAACATTAGTGACAGATTGCTTAATAATAATACCCAAAAGTGTTTAAAACTAATCCTGTGCAAGTGGGAGACTGTTGCTGTTGCAATACTCAGTCATCTTGACTCCTGAAAAGAAGTATAGAAAAAAAATTAAGAGTTTTCCCAAGCTAGTCCATTTCTTATACCTCTATTTAAGGTGCAGAACTGCAGTAACAGTTAATTAAGTAACTGTAGATTTCAGTGGTTCATATAATTTAGTCCAGGATTCCTTAAGGAAAAGGAGCTGTTGGGATAGTCTAGTATTTTTGAGTCTTTACTTACAGATGAGAAAAAAAATCAAGCAAAATGTACAAAATAAAATTCACTAAATTTTCTTTTTATGATTAAAGCTTTAGGATCATTTTCTGCTGTATTTGGAGACGAATGGAAGGAGAAAACGGATAGAGATTTTGTTAAGGTAATTTAAAGAATGTTAAATTATTTTGCACTGTGTATGATGGGTATCAAATCCTCTAAAAAGAAAAAAAAAAAAAAAGATTTACTAGCATATGTGTTTTGAACTGGTCGCAGCTTTATTCCTTTGACTTAAAGGCAGTAGGACAGTTAATCACGGTTAACATAAAACGTGTGCTTAACTAGGAAGAAAAGCCCTAAGGAAAAGTAGGGATAGTTAAGGAGAAAAGAGGCTCCAGGCTTTTTCTTACAAGAAAGCTGCAGTGTGTGTGTGAGAAGCTGTTTGTGCAGCATTTAGGCAGGAAAGAAAGAAGAATGCTGTTTGTTTGTTTATCTGTTTATCTTGCTTTTAGTGTTGGGATCAGTTAAAACATTCTGAATTGAGAAAAATATTAAGTCCATGTCACAAGAAACACAGGCCAAATTTAAGATAAGTTAGAAATGTGAGTTAGATTCAGTTAAGCTGTTTTTTACAAGGGCTTTTTTTAATCTTTCCACTAGAGGGCATGATCTGCTATACTAGTAGTGACTTACTGTACTAGAAATGAGTAAAAAATATAACCAGAAGTTGTTTTATATAAACATTTGGTCTGTATTCTAGATGAGCATTTTATGGCGAATGAGAGCATTAAATATATCTGAAGGAAATTTGGCATTCTAGCAGTTTTCTTGAGTAGAGTTTCAAGTAATGATTCCTATGGCCAAAATAGTAGAAAGATTAAAAATTATTTTGATAGTTTATGTCTTTTACTTATCAAGTTAAAATATGAAACGATGAACTATTTAACTCCTTATGAGCTCTTTGTGAGCTCTCACTCAGATTTTTATATAAATATATATCTATATCCATATATATATAAAGAAAATCTTATATATTAAAATGCCTTACAAGTAGTATAGGGAAATATTTGTTAGATCCTGTTTTCATTTGTCTTTTGTTTCTGTGTAACATAATTTTGGGACAAGTTGGCCGAGGGTCAGGTTAGCTAAATGATAAACATTGCTGATATTTCAGTGAATAGATTCCCCACCCAAAATTTCCTAAATAAAGTTAAGAAGGAAAAGCTAAGCTCTTGGTTTTTGTTCCAATTGAACTTGAAAACTTAAGTGTGCTTGAAGGTAAGTGTCGTAAGTAATGTTTCATAATAATCTGTTCTTGTTTTCCACTGAGAAATATGTCCAGAATCACTGTAGTTTTTATGTTTTGGTTTATATTTTTAAAGTACTCACCACTTCTGTTTTGGCTTCACCCTATGCTGTCACAGACAGTTGCTGATCTAGAGCAGCAACAAGTACCATGTCTAGGTCTGTAAACATTTAAAGTTACACAGAATTGGAATTTATTGTATGTTTGTTAATTGTATAATCTTATAAAATTGTGGTAGATAGGCCAGATGGTTCTGATAAATGTTTTAAACTGAGTGTTAAGTAGAACCACTGTAGCTGCAGTAAGGTTACTAATAACAAACTTGGATGTTCTCCAAGATCTGTTTCTGAACATTACAACATACATAGTACCACCGTGTAGAGAAATCCTGCTGAAAGCATGTCAGAAACACCACATTTAAAAATGTGACTAATGACAAGAATCCAGATATTCTTCAGGACCAGGTTCTTACTTGAACTCCACTTTTTTGTTCTTACCCTACTGCTGGAAGTGATTAATTCTCTACTTGCAGCTATGTGTGTGTTAGAGAAATTAGGGGAAGCATTATAGGAGTTTCTTGTACAACAAAGATGCTCTGTTGGCAGGGCAGAGATTGCGTATATGAATTTTTATTTATTTGCTTTTACAGTTTTAAAATTAACCAAATGGCTTTTCAGTGCTAGTATTCCCTTCTTTCTCTATGTCCTCATTATTTTTTAAAATTCTCTTCTACTTGGTTATTTTTATTTTGCTGCCTGTTGTGTGTTTCTTTGTTTTTCGAAGATCTTCATCATTTTCTTTCAGCTATAATGGCAATGGATTAGAAATTTGTGTTTGAGATGGAAACAGAAAAGAGATTCTTAATGGGAGGAAAACTGTAGAATTGTGAATCTAAAAAGACAAGGCAGGCAGCAATAGCATGAAATCAGAAGGGGAAGAACTTCATTAGAAATTAGGAGGGAGGCAATTTCTTAATCAAATTAACTATAAATCAGTACAAATGCAGTTACTCAAACTTTGTACACATCACATCCAGCTCGTAGTAGGCCTTGTCATGTGTTGGAGTCTCTTTCTTTTTTGGTTGAGAAGTATTAGAAATCCTGAGCATCATTGTCAAAATAACCTCAGAGTTAAAGTCAGATTTCAGGGAAAAATCATAAACTTGGGTTCTTTACAGTTAAATGTCAGATTTAGCTTCGTAAGCTGGTTTTATGGGAGAAAAAAAAAAGTAAGTTTTATGCAAAAAAAGAGAATTCCTCATCATAGGAATTTTCAAATGCAGTGCAACAAATACATAAATGCTCTATCAGAATATAGTGCTACTGTTCAGAACATAGGATGGCATGTGTAAAGCTGATGACATTGAATTAGCTTTCTTCTACACTCCTCCTCCTACCTGTTAATAGATATAAAAATGAACTTGGAACCTTGAACTTTATAAAGAAGCTATAGTTCTAGTTTCATTTTCAATGGTTATATATGTTATTCAGGATAATTTAAAATTTAAAAAATTATATAGAGAGCATGTTTTATGAAAGTTTTTAATGAACATTTCCTCAATATGAGTGTGATATGTTTAATGTGAGCTTTTTAATCTCTTAATCGTATTAGTATTTTGAAATTACAGTTCAGTAAAGAAAAATATGTTTATGCATTATTTTTCTCTTCCTCTTGCTCTATCTTTGCATACACTAGCAAGAGCAGCATTAGTATTTCTTTCCTGTTAAATATTTAAGTAGTAACTGTTCATTGTTGCTATTCAGTTCTTTGAGTTTTATGATTTATCATAAAGGTTTTTCATTTGCATTAATACTCTTGCTTCCATTTATTGCTCTGTTGGCCCCAATTTGGACTTAAGATCATTCTACTTTACATATGCTGTCTTCCTGAAAAGCTTTTTGCTACAGCGAGACTTCTATTACTGCTTTATTTAAACTTCCTCTCTGTTGTAGCTTTGTTGTAGTATGTTTTTACTTTAATATCAAGTGCTTTACCAGTCTGTTTTGCATATATTCAGTGCAATGGTCGATCACAGTAGATCTTCGTTAAATTGCATCCATCCTTCTCCTTTTGTGGCATTGATCGGGCATTTTAACGTGTGTGTCTGTCTTAGTTTATTAACAGTTTTATTATGGCTACTAAATATAATTACTTAATTTCTAGGAGTTCATTGTAAGTGTTCATGAGTGGCACCAGGCTTCCTAAATTGTCAACGGTGTCAAGATTTTTCCGGGACTATTTGCTAATTTGATAGTGTCATATACATGAATAAATGAACTTCTCCCTTTTGTCATGTCTTCCCAATCACTCGCATCTCCAGATGAAGATGGATTTTTTTAATATACTATATGCTCTTCTTGTTCATTTGTATATTTTTACATGCTCTGATACTTTTTTCTTTCTTCTTTTCATTTCTCTTTGTATTTTCTTACCTGAGCAAGGGGCACCTGTGGGTACAGCTTCTCTCTGCCAAGAATGCTCCGTTCATTAAGCTCATAGTGAGATGGAATTAGCTGTTTATCTTCATATTTCTTTCATGTTTTCAGCAGCTGCCCAGAATTTGATGCCTATGTAACAGTAGTTTTATTAAATTTGGGCGCTACTCATTTGTATTTGATTTAAGCATTTTGTTTCTTGTTCAAACATTTTTTTTTTGATGTCCTTTCAAGTTGTTGAGATCCCTGCTTTTACACAGTCTTTCTTATTGTTTTACATATTGTTTGGCTCATCCAATTCAAATTTTCTTTTAAAGTTCGTATCTTGTTGTTCAACTCTCTTATTTTTGTATATGTTGAACAATAATTTTTGCTGTACTTTTAATCTTTACTAGATAGTGCTAAGAGAGAGCTCTTTCCAAAAATAAATGCTTGAAATACCTTTCAAAAGTCATCTTTGTTATCTCCTTCACAGTGCTCCATCAAGCTATCGGGCTCAGACCCGACTCCATTTGAACTCATTTTTTTCTTGGTCAGTAGCTAGTTGTGACCATTGCCACATTACATGAATTACAAACTCAAGACATCCATTGTTTTTATAGATAGTAATTTGGTTTATCTGACTTGCAGTGAATTCTTCATAATCCTGTGCATCTTTCTGCAAAGGGACTCTGCTACGGAGGGTAATCAGATTACACTTGTGAATCAAGCTCTTTAACCCTTGTCCGTTATCAATTGCCATCTGGATGTCCTGCAGTCAAGCATTATTTGTTTGCTTCCAAGTCTTGGCTGTATATTTCCATTATCAAAGTTGTAGCATGACCTAAAATAACTATACAAGACTAGCTATGGACATTTATTTATTTATTTATTTATTTATTTATTCCTTTCCTTTTCCTTTCCTGTTGATATATAGTAGCAAAGTGTAGCTATTCATAATTTACAGGAAGGAGTAAATAACTTTATACATTTCTCAAATATGCAAAGTTAGTTGTTTCTTGTTTCCGCATCGTTCTTCAAAGAAAATATTAGGAAGTTTGACTTAACTTCTCTTTCTGCACCTCTGCCTTCTTTTGAGGAAAATGAAATTTCTGTCCTGTTTTGCCGTGTTCTCTTCTATCGAATATATCAGGACCATTGTGAGTAGCCTATTTAATTCTACTTTCCAACTCATCGTATCCAACTTCTGTGGTCTGTGCCCCTTACCATTTCTGGAGATCTCTCCTGCTTAGGCAGGAGACCTGTGATGTGTCGACTGAGGGCAATCAAACCAGTCCATAAAAGAAGGTAGTTCAGGCCAACTCTTTCCCGGTTTTAAGAAGCGTTAGAAACTGCAGATTCATGCTGAAGAAATCTGAACTTCTCTCTATAGGAGTTGAAGATGGGGATCGCTGCAGGTAGTCCTAGTGCTTTGGAAGAAAACACGTAACTTTAATCATTGGTCAGCAGGACACTTTCTTCTAGTGTGACAATTTCTTTGAGACGTAGAAATCTTTGCATCAGCAGAGTCACAGAGGTTTCTTCTCAGAACATGGTGTGATACTTTGCTTGTTGGGTCTTTTCTCCTTTAATGTTGTGAGGGCTCCTTGTAGTTAAGGAGCTTCATAATTCCAGTTAAAATGTGCTAGTGCAACTGGCCTTTCAAGGAGTTGTTTTTTCCTTCCTCAAGAGCTTTTAAGTGCCCCCGCGTTTACTTTGGGTTTCATGGATTCCTCTGTCTTAGAGAAAGATGCAGAATTGGTATTTACAGTGGACTCTGAAATAGAGTTTATATGAGGGTCAGATGAAATGCGTTCCTTCATAACCCCTCTGTCAAAAAAATAAATTTCAAAAGAATTAGTGGCTGAAATGTTTGGACAATGATTTGCATGAGATTCTCTCACACATGGGGCTGATTCAGTCTGCTGGCTGTACAACTGAGGATGAACTTACTTTTGTGTTTTTTTTTCTTTCCTTTTTTTTTTTTTTTTTTTTCTTCCCCTTATGTTTCTGAGAGCATTTCAGTCCCCATCACTCTCTCTGTTGGAATTCTGTTCGTGTAGCTGAAGCAGTTTAATTCTTCTTCTTCCTACCTGTTGGGATGCATGGCTAAAATGTAGGTCCACCTACAATACCAAGGTGTATTTAACTATACATTTAGTTTGAGTCTGTATGTTCTCAGGTTCTTCTGCCCCGGTGGCTCAAGAACCTGAAAGGGTTAGTTCAGGGTTTTTCTTCTGTCAGGTCCAGTCCCAGGCTCTTTCTGTTTCAAGACTTTCTCTTCAAATGGCAGAATATTTCATAACCAAGTCTGAAAAGGCTAAGCTGTAACTTCCTCTGAACTGGGGTTCAAGCAATAGCGCTCAGCGTCTTGGAGAATATCTTGAATCTGAAGATCTGCAAAGGGTTCCCAGCAGCTCCTGTTTACAACTCCAGCAGACGTTTCACAGTTGCTGAAACATCTAGCACGGGTGCAGTCTTTGAGAAGGCAAAACTACCATTTTTAGCCAGCTAAAGAGGTTGGGATGCTCCTTCAGGTAGAGCAGCCCTCGTGGAGAGCCTCCTTACAACAGGGCGCATGTGTGTGGAGATAAACGCTCCAAAGAGGAGAGAAAAACATATGTATACATGTGCTTTAATCGTTCTTTTTGAAGGTGTGTTGTGTATCTGTGTACGAGTGTGCAGCGCAGCCTGCAGAGTCTCTTGGAAATGTAAAAACTCCTCGGATGTGGAGGAGCGGAGGCGCGTGGGGCGCGCAGGCCGTGGCGCCTCGCGAGGGGGGCGGCTGAGGGGCGGCGGGGCCGCGCTGGAGCCCGTGGCTTCCGACGCCCTCACAGCGACCAGGAACCACTCGGAAGGAAAGAAAAACCATTAATGCAAGTGGCCTCTCCCAGGGCCTTGGTGTCTTTCTTGTTTTAGCTTCCAGGACGGAGCCTTGTTCTGTCCTCTGAGGAGAGTTTCATTTCTCCTGACAGGCAGGATTGTTCGACGTGCTGCTCCTCAGGGAGGGGAGAGGTTCAACTAACCGAGATGGGTCTGTTTGCTCTGAGAGTTATCAGTGAGAGGCACAGTTTTCCAAAAACACTCCTGGTTTGTTGTGAGCTTTGTCTTTAGCACTGCCTGTAGTGTCTTCATCTGCAAAAAACTTAAATGCTCTTTTTCCATCCTGTTGAGAATGTGTTCAGGATGGTTTGCCTTTGGGATGAAAGAATTTACTCCTTTATGATTACTTATTTGCCAGATTTTTAAATGTTTCATTTTGAACTTGAAAGCGCAAAAAACTCTTATTGGAGGATACAACTACCGAAATGTGATAACCTTGTTTAAACATTTAGCTGAGGCAGCAGTTTTAGCATTACTTCGTGATTGACCTTGGCCTCTTCCAAAGAGATTCAAGTTGAACACTTTTAAGTAGCTCTGATCGATAATCAATTTTTAGAAATCTTTAACTGATTAAACAGGTAATCTTTAAAAGCCTTTAAGGTTTTTCTTTTACGTAGTAGTGAAATGTGGAGCCTTACTGTCTTCGTTGCTTTTCCAAATGGAAACATCAGAAAGGGAAGCATGTACTTGCTGATAAATTTCCAGGCAATATCTTTCTGTATGCTTCTTTCAATCACGACTGAAACATCTTCCTTAAATGTCTCAGGTCTCCTTCACTGAAAGAAGAGGTAGCTCAAATGAAATATGTTCTGCAAATTTTACCTGCATGCCTTGATCTTCTGTAGTTTTTTCAGTAGCCTCAGTATTAATTAGAGAAATCTCCTCATGCCAAACAGTGAGGAGTTCAAGCTTTGTCTAGCTCTTTCTGTCTCTGCTCTTGAGGTAATAATCCTTTCTGTGCAAGTAATCCTCTTTACTAAGCAGCCCTTGTGTGTTATTTGGAAGCATTTCTTTTTCTTGCTGACCTTGCAATTAAGAAAATCTGTAGTATTTTATTTTTCAAGCAAATAATAGTGACAAGCTTGGTATCAGTGCTGTAATTTAGTAATTACATTTTCAAAGCAAAATTTTCTCCTACTGTTCAGCTGGTTTTCCCATCATTTCCTTTTTATCCAGATTTGCTTGTGGTTTTATTCTGTGATCACAGCCAAAAGAGTAGCTGTCTTAAAGTATTGAGTCAAAAGAACATAAAATATTTTTAGTATTTTAAATAATGATCCTGTAAACCTTTATCTCTTAATAAATTATGAATTCAACAGGAATAGTCATACAGCAAGGATGTGCAGAGTGGACGTATATTTTTTAAATAATTTGAGTCTGGCAAATTCAAAATAACTTGAGTTTTAAATTATTTAAAATAATTTCAGCCCAGCGAAACGTCATTTTGTGTGTATTTATAAAGGATTTTGGTGATGATTCTTGTTGTTTCTCTTATTTCATTGATTTGTGATGATGTATGCTGCTTGGACTGCTAACAGGAGCTGCTATCTACTGAAGTGGGGAGAAGTCGTCTCCTGCCTTAGCAGTTCATTGCTTGTAGAGAGGGAAGGAAGATGAACTGTGCTCTTTTCCCAAAATTTCTTATTTTCTGGGGTAAAATGTCTGTATGGTTTCAGTAAGTTGCCTCAGCAAAGAAACAGTTCTAGAATAATGTTGATTGATTATGAATGTATTTTTCTGGAGCTTGGTAGGACAAGTTGTGTAATATACTGAACATCTTGGATATCATCCTGTGAGTGAAAAAAATACTGGTATTAGATAAATTAATGACCAAAGTTTGAGAGCTGTTTTCTTCTCCATTAGTAAATATTTTAATGTAATTTTAAGAAATATATATATTTAAGAACATGTTCTCTATAAATTAAGTTGGTTTTTGTTTTTTCTTCAGTTTTGGAGGGATATTGTTGAGGATACTGAAGTACGCGACCTCATTTCTGATAGAAGCAAATCTCAAGGTGAGACAATCCTGAGTAGACTTGTCAGATATGTGTTGGTAAATGCAGAAAAGCAAGAAGTAATTTTATGCATTTGCTTATTTATTTTGCAGAAACTCCATCAGAAGAATGGATATGGGAATCCTTATTTCATCCACCTCGCAAGTTGGGCATTAATGATATTGAAGGACAGCGGGTGCTTCAGATCGCAGTGATTTTACGTAATCTTTCTTTTGAAGAGGGAAATGTTAAACTTTTGGCAGCTAATCGTACCTGTCTTCGGTTCCTGCTACTCTCTGCTCATAGTCATTTTATTTCTCTACGGCAATTGGGGCTTGACACACTAGGAAATATTGCAGCAGAGGTATGTGCTTCAAAACAGAACAACTAAAATATCATTTGATGAAGACATTGCTTTAATATTAACTAAATTAATCAGTAGCAATAAATATGTTCTTCTCTGAATATCTGAGTAGTTGCTAGAAAACGAATATGCAAGGCCAAATGTAAAATACAGAGAGAATGTGTCAGTTTGCTTAAAGAAAACTACCTAGAGAAAGAGTAATTACATAAGGACAAGTAAGATCCCTCGTACCACATCATTTTCAGTTTGGCTTCCCAGATAGGAAGGAATTCTTGTAGACTATACAGAAATTTCTTCATACATCTTCTCTTCAGAGAGTTTTGAGTGTAATAAAGTATCCCATTTGGTCTTTGTATCGTTGTAGAAGTAAGTTGTAGGGTTTTACAGGCAGACATGCACAGGTATGGCTTACATTTTAAGATATAACAGGTACGTTTCAGATAGGACAGTAAGAATTGCAGTGTTGATGCTATGCTGAATATCTCAAAAGGATGGCGTTTGGTCCATGTGGTCACTGTTTTTGAATGTTGTCGTAACATGTGAGAGCTCTGCTCAGGAAGCAGAAGCCTGTTGTATTAGACATCCCTTAGAGACTGGATGACCGATTATGGTAGCCCTTTGGAAGGGGTGTTGCTCTTGTTCAATTTTGATCCTTTGGACAGTAGACTATATTTGTATATACTGTTGGCTGCGTAGGGAGAAAATTATTTTCCTTGTTCCAAATACTGGAAAGTATAATGTAAGTTTGCCCACTACTTTGGAGCAGAAAAGGCGGGAGTCACAAAGAAAAAAAGTGCTAGCGACTTTAAGTTGCTATTATTGCTATATATGCATAGTGTTAGACATTGCCTATTTTCTTTTTCTTTCTTTCCTGTCAGCTTCTTCTGGATCCTGTTGATTTCAAAACAACCCATCTAATGTTTCACACTGTTACGAAATGCCTAATGTCAAGGGATAGATTTTTAAAAATGAGAGGTAAGGTCTCAAGCTATTCTTGCTGTTGTTGTTGTGTTAGAGTAGTAATTATTGCAGTTAAACAATTTTTGGGTTTTTTCAGGCATGGAAATCTTGGCAAATCTTTGTAAGGCTGAAGATAATGGTGTCTTAATTTGTGAATATGTGGATCAGGAATCTTACAAAGAAATCATATGTCATCTCACGCTACCAGATGTGCTGCTTGTAATCTCAGCGCTGGAGGTGCTCTACATGCTCACAGAGATGGGAGAAGTGGCCTGCACAAAGATTGCTAAAGTAGAAAAGAGCATAGGTAAGGGAGAAGGAAGACAAATTCCATCCTTTGTGTAGGAAAAAGGGATCAAGAGTATGTCATGTGCAAGAGCTGAAATATGTGACTTGCATGTTTGTGTGCCAAGTAGGGATGGATGTTGCAAGACAAAGTTTTACTAGTAAGTTGTGATTTCTCAAGAAATTGATAATGCTAGTAACTTTTTGTAATTTTTTCTTTTAATATATATATATACATGCCAATACATGCCAATTTTAAAGGAATTCAGTATGTCCTAGTAGCATTCATTTGTTTGTCCTAATGTCATTGTCGGTTTTACATTTAATACTTTAGATACATTAGTATGTCTGGTTTCTATGGACATCCAGATGTTCGGAGCTGATGCACTTACTGCTGTAAAACTCATTGAACATCAGTGTGTTAACCAGCAAGGAGTACCTGATGTCAGACCGCCAGTACTGGAGCATGGTTCCTCACAGGGCCATGCAGCAGCTCTCCCAGGTTAGTGTCTCTGTGAGACAAGATTCTTCTGTGCAGGGTTTTGTTTTTGTTTTTGTTCTCTTTGTCCATTTCTGAGAAACTTACATAAATGCGCATAGCATTATGCATAATATATGCTATTTTCAGCAGACACCCACAAAACAAATGATATTGGGCAGTAACATATAAATTATGATAGAACTGCAGAGACAAGAAATTCGTATGGATTCATGTCTCTGCTGAAACCACCAAACACTTCATTGTGGTCTGAACCAAGTTTTAACTCCACCCCTTAGAGCTGTCCTAATTCATCTTACCTACAAATTGTAATGATGATTAATTTCTGCAGTTTTATTTTAATTAAAATACATGTCCTTTTGAAGGTGGTGAGATGATCCATCAAGGGGAATAATGTGTGCACCTCATTCTATCCTTACCAATAAAAGTACCTGGTAGCCAAAAGCAAGAAGTGCAGAAAAGAGGGAACATTCTAAGGAAAGACAGAGAGAGAACCATTACGATACGTACTAGTTTGTGTGTCTAAAAGAGAGTTTCTGGAATGTGTTCAGAAATCACAGTGAAAGCAACTGGAAAGGAATATGAATGAAGGGATGAACCGGAGTGACACTAAGGAACCCATGTGACATCAGAGCAAAATTCTTCACACTATTCCTGTTTCCACATGTGAACTGGAAACCTTTTTGCTATGTCCTTGAGCCTATTCCAGTGGAGAATTGTACCCCTCTTGAGTCATTCTCAGTATGCAGCTGAGAAGCTGCCCTCCACTAGGTGCTTATTTAGATCACACTTAAGTGGTGACCCGGGTTTTGACCTGACCAACTTCATTTTGGTGAATTTTGGTGCAAGTCTGTAGTCTGCTTAGTGCACCTCTGTAACTCCAGTTGGACATACTTTTGCTTACAAAATCAGGAGAAACTGTAGCAGTGAAAGTTATGGCTTTGAAGTGCTCCATTCAGGAGAATAATAATTATTTCAGCAAGGTTTTTTGTTTTTGTTTTGTTTTTGTTTTGTTTCATTCTCCACAGCCTCTAGGGCAGCGCCGCATGTTGCTCCACCACCAGGAATAGTAGAAATAGACAGCGAGAAATTTGCATGTCAGTGGTAAGTGTATAGTTCCACTCAAATACTTTAATGAAGAAGGGAAAAAACAAAGCAAAGAAAAAAATGCCTGTATTCATGCAACGGACAGGATTTTCTAGCTCGCTTCACCATTAGATTTATTTTTTCTATAAAAGGAAGTTTAAAGAAAAGCCATTCTGCCATTGTTTTGAAGAAGTGTGAAAGAAAAACTCAACCTGAATACTCACAGTGGATACTTTATTATTGGTTGCTTTCTTGTTTAGAATAGAATTTATTTTGATTTTTAACTCTAATCTTGATAATTTTTTTCCTTAAAGCTGTGGAGCAGCATTATCTGTTTAATCAGTGGTTTCATCTGTAATTTGTCCTGTCGTTATTGCACCAATACAAACGAATTCTCCAGTTATGAAGTTACGACCCTGCAAGATTATGATCTGTTCATTGTAGTCTCAAGCAAGTTAGAAGTAGATTAAATTAAAGCCTCTCCCTTTAAATTTGTGTGTTTTTTATAATATCATATTATTATGGTTGATAAACCATATCCAAACCAATAAACCATATTATTATAGTTGATTATTTGTCAGATACTTAGAGGAAAAACTCTCCTGCCTGTGATTGCCTTGTGGACTGTGATCGTTGTGAACTATAGCTGACTTTCATGTGAATCTGCTCACATTCTCAATACTCCCGTGAGTGGGTTTGTGATGGACACTGGCACCACTGCTGCTCCATACCTTGTTTGTACAGCACTTACCTCACTGATCCCGCCTAGACCTTCAAGATGCCATGGGGAGAGTTTTCAAAGCGCAGCTCGGAGCTTTCAGAGCTCTGTGCTGATCAAGGTTTTGGTTTATTCCCAAGTTCAGCAGAGCTCTGCACGTACAGAAGGGCTGTTGTAAATTCTGCCTAGTCAGCTGCTGTCGCTTCCCTCTGCACTCTGCAAAGTGTTATTAACCTATGCTGGGGCTAGGCTGGGAAATAATTCTCGTTTAGACACTTACACAGGGATGCACAGACTCCCTGCGGTTGAATTTAGCCATCTACAAGTTGTTGTCTAGCCATAGTGTGTTTTCTAGGCTTTTTTAATTAATGAATGGAGAGATTCTTCTGTAGTAAGATGTATTACCTGTACCTGCCTAGTCTGTAGTAATATGAGTTATGAACTACCCTGTGGTGCCACCTTCTCTCAGTCGGCAGCAGGGAGAACTAGACGTCTAGCTGAGGTGGCCAAGCTGGAGACAAGGTGAATCTTGCGCTCTGTAAAAAACATGAAGTAGAAGTTTTGGCTGTAAAAATAACAGGCATGTGCTCTGCTGTGACTGCATAAACTGTCAGTGGCAAATGCACTGAAACAAACGATGTGACATGAGGGGAAGCTGGGACATTCGGGTTGTTTCTGGTTCTGTGCATAGTGTGCTTCTCCTGCTCTCTGCTGAGTGCAACAGTTCAGTGCTTCAATTTTCTTCCAGGTAGTCTTAGATTGATATGGAAAATTAGCAAAACTGACAGTTTATTTTTTATTATCAATGGAAAATAAAAACTAGCAAAAAAAAAAAAAAAAAACACTTTTTTTAATTTGAGAGCATAGAAGTAGCCGCTTCCAACTGTTTCTATCAGTGCAGACATGGAGTCTTAAACCCACCTAAGTTTTCATAGTGTGTTTTAGCCATTGCTTCCTGTTGATAGAAATTGAAAGGGAGTGCGTTGAAACAGTAAAATTGAGAAAAGCTGCCCTTTCTTAGAAGCAGCAGAAAGACAGGGTATTTAAGCTGACCTTCCTGTCTGTGTTACAAGTCAGCTTAGCTGAATAAGACTCCTCCTGTAAGGTAAGCAAATGTAACGGGGCTAATCACCACCACCAGGTCACGAGTGTTAAGTCCCAAATAGCTTCTCTCCCGTTAGCTGGCACCAGTGACAGTGGGCGAGCCTAACATGCCATATCAGACACATGGCTGTGCCAGCTTACTAACACGTCGACTTTGTATTGCGTGATCTCAATTTTTTTAGTACCACAATTGTATTAAACTGCAGAAGGAGTGCTGTGGGTGTAAGTTATACTTGTGAGTATAAGCTGAAACCCAGGCAGTTCCATCCCCATGTGAGGAGGAACTTCTTTCCTGTGAGGGTGCCAGAGCCCTGGCACAGGCTGCCCAGGGAGGCTGTGGAGTCTCCTCCTCTGCAGGTCTTCAAAGTCCACCTGGATGCCGCCCCGTGCTCTGGGTGTCCCTGCTGGAGCAGGGCGGTTGGACTAGATGATCTCCAGAGGTCCCTTCCAACCTCAACCATTCTGGGATTCTGTGGTATATTTATTTTTCTGGTTGTGAGACAGCACAGTGTTTACACTCTTCAAATATTTGCTTTCTCTCTTTAAAAATATCTAATTATGTTGGGATCCTAGGACTCTGTAAAGGGCTGCTTAGTGTAATTTTCCAAACTTCCAACTCGATAGGCCAAATACTGGCAATTTAAAAAGATTTTTGTTCTCTCTGAGCCTGCGTGTTGTTGCAAGTTTTTTGAACATGGTGGGCAATTTTTATGCAGCTCTGCTGCTGGGCATGAACTATTCACATCTCTCTGGGCAGGAATAGGGATTTCAAACAAACAGACACACTGGGAATTGGGGATTCCTCATTGGGATTGGAAGGTCTGTGTGTTAGCGGAGATTCTGTACCAAGTCCATATTTCCCATCTGCCTGGGATTCTAGCATCAGGCAGAGCAGGTTGTTCAAGGATTTTATGGTGTTTGGATAGTGTGTGCCTGGAGGAATGAGCGTGTGCGGGTGTCTGCGTGCACAGGCCCAGGCCCTTCTCTCCCTCCTCCCCACCTCGGTCACAACCAGAGGATGAAGATAGTTATTCTGCCTCCGTTTTTTTTAACGTGTATCTTAAAGTAACACTAAATTACCCCATCTGTTAAAATCTTGGTTTTGGCACAGAAGGTAAATCAACTTCTGAGAGAAGTTTTGGAGGGAAGGTTGACATCCAGTCCATCTTTTGGAATAACGGAGTCATCGGGTAGTAAGTGTAAAGGCAGGAGCTGTCACCAAAACATGCTTTTTCTGTGTGTTTGTTTACGAATATATAATAAAAACACACATGCATATAAATGTGTGAATGCATACAAATGTGTGATATATTTTGCATATTATAGATGTAAATAAGACATTGCTTGTAAAACAGCACGTCTGAAGGCTGTTATGTGCTTAATCGTAGACAGGGAGAAGTACAAAGCATGGAATAGACGTTTGACAAGACAACACATTAAAATGCCATTTTCCATATTGTTATCAGCTCTCAGTTCTCTGTGAGACAGGTAGAAGTGTTTTAACTCTTTTAAAAGTACTGTCTCTGCACCTGCTTCATAGTTTATTTTTCCATCTTCAGGTTGAATGCACATTTTGAAGTGAGTCTTGATTGCTCAGTCTCTCGAGCCGAAATGTACTCTGAATACCTCTCTACCTGTAGTAAATTAGCTCGAGGGGGAATCCTGACGTCAACTGGATTTTATAAATGTCTGCGGTAAGACAAAAAGTTCCTGCAATGTTAAAGAGGCAATTGTATGTGCTAAGTGCTGGCCTGCAGTTTCAGATTTTGAGGAGAATCTAAAGAGATGAGTCTGAAAGACGTCCACTTTTGCAATTTAAAGTAAAACAAATGCTTGTAGTTTAATTAGCTGATTTCGTCTTATTTCAGCCACTTTTGTTAGAGCGGCTTCCTGCCACACTCTGCTTCCTGCCATTACAGTTTTTTTCCCAGGTTGTTTTAGGATTTGTTGTAGTTTTCATTTTTCTTGCACAAGAAAGTGGCCCAATTCTGGTGGCTGTATCAGTGCTCAGCAATGAATACCCAGGTGCTCCCAGGGAATCCCGCTATACCGTAAGGCTGCAGGCACTAGTGCACAAAGCAAAGTTTGCCCTCCCTGCCCATAAGAGCAGAGTTTGAAACAAAAACCGTGGGAGGATTGATTTATTGTGTTGACTGACATAAATGTGTGTTGTGTTTGGCAGAACTGTCTTTCCAAATCATACAGTGAAGAGAGTGGAAGATGGGAGTAACAGCGGGCAAGCCCATATCCACGTGGTCGGAGTGAAGAGGAGGGCTATCCCCCTGCCCATTCAGATGTACTATCAGCAGCAGCCAGCCTCGTCTGCCCCTGTCGTCCGGGTTGATTCAATTCCTGATGTAGCCTCATCTCCTTTGCCAGCAGGTTTTTTTAAAATTAATTAATTTTCAACTGTTTTGCATTGATTCTGAAGCAACAGTAACAAAATTTGCTGAAAGTAGTTTGAAAGGGATGAAATAGTTTTAAGGTGTTGCGACTAGTGGCCACGTGCTTTAATTCGTTCTATCCAATAATGTTAGGAATAGTGTTGGAGTATGTGCTTCTGTGCTGTCCTGTATATGGCTGCTATCCTGTATGCTTGTTAGTCAGCAGATGAGCCCTATTACTCCATCATTACTTCAGATTTGGTATGATTAAGAAGAGAAGCTGCTTCACATGGAATTATGAATTCAAATTTTGGACTTTTTTTTTTTAATGCTCTATTTTGAAATATTCTTTGCATTTAAACTATTGCTTTTTTTATGTCAACAGGACTCGCACATGGGCCACCAAATCATTATCAGAGGACCCCTATTAACCAGTCTTCAACTTTGGCAGCAACGCAGATGTCTTTTCCGATTCAAGGTGTTCATACAGTGGCACAGACTGTTTCCAGAATTCCGCAGAATCCTTCGATTCATCCACAGCAGCAGCAGGGCGCTCCGGTGACTGTTATACAGAGCAAAGGCCCCGTGCCCTGCGAGATGATGCAGGCCACAGTAATACAGGGCTCTGTACCCCAGCCTGGGGTTCCTGTTACCATTGCTGTCGGGGGAGCACCGGTCTCTAATCAGAGCCTCAGCAGCACAGGCCCGCCGCCCTCGGTCACCGTTGTTGGTTCTCAGACGTTGCTTCACCACCAGCCCGTGATTCAGCAGCAGTCCCCCCTGCACGCGGTGGTGCCCGGACAGCTTCCTTCAGGCACTCCCGTTACGGTGATTCAACAAGCTGTACCTCAGGGTCATATATTTGGCAGAGTACAAAACCTCCCGGCGTGCAGTTCCGCAGTTTCCCAGGGTCAGCAGCTGATCACCACGTCGCAGCCCTCAGCCCAGCCAGGCTCCGCCGGGAGCCAGCAGCAAGACACGGTCATCATAGCGCCGCCGCAGTACGTCACCACCTCGGCCTCCAACATGGTCTCCGCCACCAGCGTCCAGAACTTCCAGGTGGCGGCGGGGCAGGTGGTGACCATCGCGGGTGTGCAGAGCCCGCAGACCTCTCGCGTTGGGTTCCAGAACATCGCGCCGAAGCCGCTGCCCGCTCAGCCAGGGCCGCCCAGCGTGGTCCAGCAGCCGCAGGCGCCGCCGCCGTCGCAGCAGAGCGTGGTGATCGTGAGCCAGCCGGCGCAGCAGGGCCCGGCCTACGCGCCCGCCATCCACCAGATCGTGCTCGCCAACCCGGCCTCCATCCCGCCGGGACAGGCCGTGCAGCTGGCTGGGCAGCCGAGCATCACTCCGGCCTCTTCCCCGTCCCCGGGGCCGGTGACAAACAATCAAGTTCCTACGGTCATGTCGCCTTCACCGACCGCTCCTCCGCCGCAAGGCCCCCCTCCTACTGTCAGCCAGATGCTTTCTGTAAAGAGGCAGCAGCAGCAGCAGCATTCACCAGCATCCTCGCAGCAACAGGTACCGCCGCAGCAACCGCTACAAATGCAAGTTCAGTCGCAACAAGCTAACACGGGGGTTGGCCAGCCCAACTCTGGGGAGTCCAGCCTGATAAAACAACTGCTGCTTCCCAAACGGGGCCCCTCGACGCCGGGGGGTAAGCTTATCCTCCCCGCTCCGCAGATCCCACCACCCAACAACGCGAGAGCGCCCAGCCCTCAGGTGGTTTATCAGATGGCCAATAACCAGGCACAAGGCTTTGGAGTTCAAGGACAGTCTCCAGCTCAGCAGCTGCTAGTTGGACAGCAAAACGTTCAGCTGGTCCCGAGTGCAATCCAGCCCCAAGGGGCAGTACAGACAGTACCCATTTCTAACTTGCAGATATTGCCAGGCCAGTTGATCTCAAACAGCCCAGCAACTATTTTCCAGGGGACTTCTGGCAACCAGGTTACGATAACAGTTGTGCCAAATACGAGTTTTGCTACTGCAACTGTGAGTCAGGGAAGTGCAACTCAGCTCATTGCTCCAGCGGGAATTGCAGTGAGTGGAGCACAGACAGGAGTTGGGCTACAAGTGCAAACGCTTCCAGCTACACAAGCACCTTCAGCTGGACAATCACCGTGTACTGCTGCTCCCCCGTTCAAAGGCGATAAGATAATTTGCCAAAAGGAGGAAGAGGCAAAGGAAGCAACAGGTTTACACATTCACGAGCGTAAAATTGAAGTTATGGAGAATCCTTCCTGTCGAAGAGGAGCTGCAAACACCAGCAATGGGGATGCAAAAGAAAGTGAAATGCAGGTGGGAAGTCTTTTAAACGGGAGAAAGTACAGTGACTCCAGTCTACCTCCTTCTAACTCAGGGAAAACTCAGAATGAGGCCAATCAGTGCTCCCAAGTCAGTAACGGGCCGTCGTTAGACATGGGTGAGAACGGAGCTCCTGGAAAACAGAACTTTGAACAAATGGACACACAGGAAATTAAAAGCGATCTGAGGAAGCCCCTCGTTAATGGCATCTGTGATTTTGATAAAGGAGATGGCTCTCTCTTGAGCAAAAACATTCCAAATCATAAAACTTCCAACCACGTAGGAAATGGTGATATATCTTCAGTGGAACAGCAAGGGAATTTGGATGCCACGCAGCAAGATACTGCCAAAGGTGATCAAGGGGAAAGGATTTCTAATGGGCCTGTATTAACTTTGAGTAGTTCGCCTGTTGTAAGCGGTACACAGGAGGCTGCAAAACTGTTAACCCAGCAACTTAGTGGTACCAACACTGATTTACCTAATGGACCTCTAGCCTCGAGTTTGAATTCAGACGTGCCTCAGCAACGCCCAAGTGTAGTTGTCTCGCCACAATCCACAGCCTCTGTTATACAGGGGCACCAAATCCTCGCAGTCCCACACTCAGGACCTCGAGTGTCCCCGTCTACCCTGTCATCCGACGTTCGGTCTACCAATGGCACAGCAGACTGCAAGACTGTAAAGAGGCCGGCGGAGGATAGCGACAGGGAAACCGTTCCCGGAATTCCAAATAAAGTAGGAGTTAGAATTGTTACAATCAGCGACCCCAACAATGCCGGGTGCAGCGCAACCATGGTTGCCGTGCCGGCCGGAGCGGATCCGAGCACTGTAGCCAAAGTAGCAATAGAAAGTGCTGCTCAGCAGAAGCAGCAGCAGCAGCAGCAGCCACCAACCACGTTCATCCAGAGCATGGTCACACAGGTATGTCACGGTGGGCTTCTGCTTCCAGAAATAAAAAGCTGTGATTGCCACTAATGCTGGGACAGGAAAGCGTATGAAAATGTAAACTCAGTTGCTACCTCTTGCCTAGCATTTTAAATATTCCTGTAATAACGGTTTCTGTCCCTACATGAGCTTAAGATCTGGTTTTTGTCGTGCTTTTGTCATGTCCGGGACTGTAGTTGAATTTAGTCGGTCAGAGCGATTAACTTCAGATGCAACTTGATGCACGCTGAGGAAAGAGCTTTTCTTTAGTGCTCATTTTAAAGAATTTAGAATTCTGAAAGCAGATTTTTTTGGATAGCTGTGTAAAAACACACCTGCATTGTTTCTCGTTCTGTTCTTGAGCTTTATTGGTTATAGGTGTGTGGGTTTTGCTGTTTGTTTGTTGTTTGTTTTAGCAAGTTAATCGCGAGAGCTGCATTGGGCTTACTGGAATAAGTTGAAGGCCTTGCACTTAATCTTGAAATGAGAATGATGGCTGCACCAGATCACACTAGCCAGGGAAAATACTACTTGTGAAATTTGTCAAAATAATAGTAGTTTTGTTAACACAATAAATATTTAATTATGTTTGACAGATTTGGAGGGAGCTTTTCTCCTGGTTGAACTGTTTTTACTTTTTTAAAGTACTAACTCCTTAATATTGTTAGAAACAAGGTACGTCCATCACTTACATGTGTTGTAATCACTACAGGTGCTCATATCTGAGATTGTTCTGTTCTCTAGAATTTGTTTTAGCCTGTGTGTACCTGGACAGAAACTCCCTCTCCAAGAAACATCTCTTACCTAAATGGGGCTGATGGAAGAGCAGGTTTGGCAGACGTAGAATTCTGACAGACCATGGAGAGAGAAAATGGAATTTGAGAGTGTGTTGTTGGGTTTGAGCTGCTTTAAGGCTATTTTTTGATGGCAAGGCACGTGCAGGTGTGCAGTGTTTATGACTTGAGCAGAGCTAGACCGTGGATTCAACAAGTGGTGGCCAGTGGCTCTGCTTTGTCTGGATCAAGTTAGGTTTCTACTGAAAGCTCTTTTCCTTGACTTTGATTGTCAGAAATCAGGACTAAAAAATAAAATTATTATTAATTTACCCTGCCAGACCACACAGATATTTATCTTTAATATCTTGGAAACTTGAGCAAAAACTTCTGTGTGAGTTTATGAGAGAAAGATCTGTGCTTTTATCTTTGTTTGTGATTTTGTTCTTTTGATCATTTAATCAAAAACACCCGTTGACAGCACGGGAGGGTGCAGTAGATACAGCTTGGGTGCTGTAGCTGCCTGTTTGCAGTGATGCTGTTAGGATAGTTCCTAGTTTGCGTTTCTGGGAGGATTTGCCTGCAGTAGAAGATGGCTGGGGTTGAGTGGTTATTATCTGTGGTTGTTTCTCCACAGATAGCCCCAAGGCCGGGGGGCGATAGCAGGTTTGTCCCAGAGGTTCTGCACTGCGAGGCTCCCAGGACCTTTTGAGGAGAAGAGCGAGGGCAACGTGGTTATCCCTCCCTTCTGGATTAGATTAGCGGTTCTCTCGTGGTAACAGAGCAAAAGTTCTTCAATGAGCACTTTCTTTGCTAAAGTTTCTTTAAAGTTGGGCAAGATACCCTTGATTTGCTGACACTATTTTGAATAATTTCTGCAGTTTTTTTACGTTACCTATACGTACAGATTAACTGCTAGCTGCCTCTGCCATTCAGTGCTAGTCTGCAGGTCAAAGCAACTCTGGTTCAATGTCTGCTCCGTGGAATTTAGCTCATTCCCTTGTCCGTAGGTTGTCCTTGGCTTCTTCAGAATTGCAGGAATGTGGCAGAAGGAGTTTGCTAGTTCTGATCTCGGCAAACAACCTGAACTTGCTGGTGAAGGGCCTATTACAGCAGTGCTGCAGCACTGACTGTTCAGATATAGTGCGTTGATATCCGCTAAAGTTAGGCTTAAAACTTGTAAGAAATTGAGCTTTCCTCTGAAACGTTTGCGTGGCGTGTGCTCGTCCTGCCTGCCTCACCCATGGGTGCTGAGCAGCCCTTACCCTGCTGCAAACCCGGGTGCTGAGTGTCTCCAGTGCCGAGTCTGCTTTTATGCCAGGCCCCTGGAGCGGCTCCGAGCTGGTGTCATTTGCTCTCTGCCGATGACTCCTGCTGGAGTTGAGCTCTGTATAATCATGCAAAATACAGGAATCTCCTAGTTTCCCCTCCCATCTGGAGCCACGTCCTTGGCCAGTGAGCAGCCTCCCCGAGTGCCTTTTGAAAGAGAACAGCTAGGAAGCACTGCTTCCAGTACAGTGGCTGCACTGTTTCAGTGTCTGTGCAGTGTCTGATGTGAACTTGATACACAGAACAAATAGGAGAGCATGGAGTGAAATTTATCGCGGATAAAACACAATAAAGGAAAATGGTGAGGGGTAGAAATGAAAGGGCGGCCACTACGACCGAACTAAATAGCTGTTGAAGTTAATTGCGTGTTTTCCTGTTCCTTTGCTGTCTTAAAATTTTGAAATGAAGCTTGTGTTTCAGAGAGAAGCGAGAAAGGGAAAGAGGAAGAAAGCTTAAAATTAGACCACAGGAGGAAGGCTGGCAAAGCAGATCTGGCGGACAGAAAAAGGAGGGTGTTGCTTGGGCCACTGTAACAGGATAAGTTGTTGCAAGCAGCAGAAAGGGAAGATATTTGAACTGAGATAAGGAAGGACAAATAGAAATTGGGAATAACTGGAGAAATAAAGTAGTAAGTGTGCCCCAGAGCAGGGGAGGAGAGGAAATGTGCAAGTGGGAGCAAAGCAAATGAAGAAAATATCTTTTCAATGGATGTAGCATTAAGAGAAGGCATCTTTCATAACATGATTTGGTAGTTTGAAAAGGACTGATGCCTGAAGAGAAAAAAGATGTTGATTTAACTTGTGCTGCTGAAACATTAAGAAGCATATACTTGATGGTAATGGGAGAGCCTATGTAGTGCTATGTAAGTCTAGTTAGACAAATACAGATAGTTCTGTGTGCACAATCATCTGCGATTGTTTCACGTTGCTCTAATTGGATGTAGATATCAGCAGAGCTCATTGAAAGATAAGAATGGGTAGACTGGACTTTAGGGACTGACTATTGTATTTTTGTACAAAAAATGGGCTATGTCAGAAGAACAGACTTGCACAATATTAGATTTATATATATATATATTTACATCTGCATTTTGCCAACCCTCTAAATGCAGCCTGAGAGGAGATGGAGCTAGCAGTTGATGTCCTTGGTTGTGGTGCTGTGTGGGGTTTTTTTTTTTTTTTTTTTTTTTTTTTTTTTATCTTAGTTTCCTTAGTTTCTGTGCTCCCTGCTATGGATTACTTCTTTCCTCCGGCATTGTGCCAGACTGGTGGGTGAAAAAGAAACGCGTATCCGTGTTTCCTGACTTCATTTTCATTGCTTTTTTCCTCTCTCTGCTACAGCCCCCTCTAAAACACCAGTTGAACCCAAGCAGGTTGCTTTGCTCCAGCTGGTTTGGGTTGTGACGAGCGCTCCAGTACCGTGCCAGGCTCCTCATAGTGCCCACGTGGGCCGCAAATTCCCTTGTCCGGCCTTGGGAGTGGCCGCTTCCCAGCTTGTCCCTGTTATTCCCCCGGAAGCACCCACTGCCCCCTCCCAGGGACCCCGCTTCAGGTGGGGGGCCACCCTCTGTGGCGAGGCCCGTCGGCACCCCTGCCAGAGAGCGCCCGTGCGGGCGACCCTCGAGTGCTGCCCTCTTCGCTTGCCGCTGCTGAGCGGCCTCGTGATGGTCTCGAAGAAGCCAAACCCAACGTTTTCCAGTAACGTTGAGTTCAAAATCCTGTGGTGTTTAGTTTCTATTTATTTTTTTGCTAAGTCTTCACTGCAGTTAAACATATTTGCATACAATCATTTACATGCTAATGATGGGAGGAGAAATGCAGCCTAATGCTTTGAAGCTCCTTAAGACTCTGTGTAACAACAAAATCCCCAACATATTGGGATACAGTGTTTTCCTTTTGTTGTCTGCAAACTAAGCCCTGTAAAACTGGCAGGGTTAATGCTAAAAAAGCACCTTCATGGTATCCATTAATCTATATAGACAATTTATTTTAATATTGAGCATTATGAATTGTGTGGCAATACTTGCAAATACTGAAAGGTTTTACATCTTTGTTGTGTATTTGTTTCTGTTAGATTTTTAGTACCTTAAGGACTGTCAAAGGATCCCCCCCTCCCAAGGGAACGGGGTGAGTGAGCAAAGAGCTGCTTCCAAGTCAGCACGAGCAAAGCAGTTCAGAGGAAATGCTCTGTGTCGTCCAGCCTTAGCTGCCCAGCACACCTGTCTCCATTGCAACATGTTCTGGGTTTCATAGGCCTAGGGTAAAAGGTGGAAAAAATGCATTTTTAAAGCACGTTGCCCTCTTGAAGAGGTCTTGAAGTCTGGAAGTCTCGAAGAATTGAAGAAATATCTGACAATAGTGTAACTGGAAAAAACAGCTTAATACTTTTTACTTTCTATCCCAAAGAATGTCATGACTCTCTATCGTACAGGCATTGCAGGAGCTGGACGGTGGAAAAAAGCTGCTCCTGGGTTGCCCTTGTGGCCGAGGCAGAGGCTGCCGTGACAGGAAGTGGGATGCAGGGATGTGGCTGGCTCTTCCCGCGGCGGCCGCGCTCCGGCTGGGCTTGCCAGCCGTGCTCTCACATCTCCCGGGTCTCCGTCCTGCCCTGGCCTCAGCTCTGATGCCTCCCGCGCTCCTGGTAGTCGAGGCCTCGCGCTGGAAGAGCCGGTCCAGGTCCCGGGAGGCCGAGTCAGACCCAGCGGCGCGTAGTTCCCGTGTGAGAAGAGAGCTGCCCTGGGAAGCAGCTGTGTCCCGAGGCAGCGCGGCTGCGGCCTCTCTGGCGCATCCCGAGGCTGCAGGCGAGGCAGCCGGCCCGCGGGTCGCACAGCGGTGCCTGCAGACACTGCTGGGCCCCTGGCACCTCCGAGACGAGCCTGGGGTGGCAGCGCCCGGGTCGCTCGGCCTGCGGGGAGCCGGGAATGGGATGGCGGAGGTGGGAGCTGTGGCCGCCGAGCTGGGCGTTCTGCATCGCACCTGCCCTGCCTGGGGACGTGCCTCGAGTCCAGGCCCTGCTGTGAAGGGCGTCGGGAAGGGCAGACCTCCCGTTCTGTGTGTGAAGGGCTGGGACATCATCAAAGTCAGGACTGCTGGTTCAGGAGCTGCCATAAGAAACAGGGAGTAAGGGGAGGAATCAAGCTGTTAGAAAGCAGTGCTTGGAAAAGTCACTGTGGGCTGCCTTGCATCTGCTTACGCTATCTGGGCATGCCAAGGGGTGTGTGTGCAGTGTGTTGGAGCCTATGAGTCTGAGCTTCTGTCACACCACTTGTGCTGTGGGGCACCCGGGGGTCCTGTCAAAACCCAGGTTGTGGGAGGTCGGTTCCCATGGCCCCCTCCTGTCACCGTAGCGCCCATGAGCTGCAGCTGCGTGAAGTTCTGCTGTGATGGTAGCAGGTTCAGCTGCCCTGGCCTGTTGATACTGACCTTCTCAAAGCACGCACACACACAAACAAGTTGCGTTCTTGCTCTATGAGTCCTTAAGATGGCACTTAGTTTATGGAAGGTTTTGTGTTATGAATAAAATAAGGTGTAAGAGGTACCTTTCAGTCCCGGATCCCAGTGAGATCTGATCTGCAGAAGTGTTGAGTTGTCCCAGCTGAAATCAGAGCATGGAGAGATCTGAACTGCAAGAATGCTGTAAGCTCTGTGAGTGTGCGGGGTGTTTGGTACTTGATTTTTAGGGAAACTAGAACTAGAAAGTGCTTTTGCTAGAGGATGCAATATGTGAAAATCTTCACAGGGGGAAATGGGAAATTTTTTAATGTTACTCATCCTACAAAGAATTTACTGCACAAGTGAAGTGTCTGCCTTGGTTTTGTATGTTAAAGAAGTAAAGAGCCTTGCATTATCATTGCTTAGCAGTAGGGTAAATCAGGTACCTCATAGCAAACATTCCTAAGTGTGTTTTTGGAGTATAAATTTTTATTTATGTTTGAAAGATGAAGACTTTATGTGATGTTAAAGATTTCCAGTGCCTCTTGCATGACATAAATCAATAGATGAAAAGGGGTCGAGGAAAAAACGGTTGCGAACAGAAATTATTATCAGATCTAGTAAACGGAATAAAAGAAAGCTTTGAGATGTAGAGTTAAAACATTTCTAAAGCCAAGCCTTGGGAAACAAACGTGACATCCCTTTATTTGTCAGTCTGTAATGTAATTGAGATAGGACGATGGAGAAGCAATAAATTCAAACCAAGAGTACGTGGGCATTGAGGCTGCCCTGAGGGCAGCTCCTCTCCTTGGTAGTTCAGCAGCAGTAACAGAATTCTGAACAGCTAAAATGATTTTACTGACTTCAGTTTACTGTTTTTTTCTTGCCAGGACTTGGAGCAGATGGGGATTGGAAGGGGGAAACGGTTTAACTTTCTGTCCTGAAAGCTGGTTCCTCTTCTGTGCTCTCTCCTTCTCAGTATTTAACTCTTAGGATTTAGCATCACAGTTGTCCTTGCTTAAAATAATAATATTCATACCTTCTCATAAAGAGATTTAAAGTTTAAAGCTTCCACTAATGGAGCATGCCAGGAAAAAAACCCTTGGGAAAATCAGTAATTCTGGATGAACTGCAGGGTTTGGTCAGCAGTGGTGAATAATAGATGAACGACCATTGAATGGGGAGCGGGAGGTGCCGTGCTGCCTTCATCCAGTAAACACCAGCTTTGCAGCACCTTAAATAAGGCACAAGTTCTGCTGGGGTAAAAAGTCACATAAAGACCATCAAAATGTGCTTGCAGGGTGCCAGGAGAAGGCTGCAGAACATGCCAAGTTGCTGGCACTCATTAGCTTTCTCACATGAAGCTGAAAGTAAATGCGTTACAGAAATGGTGATCCTAGAAGATCCACACAGATCACAGGCATCACATTATGCTGCTTTTTTTTTAAGGTTTCACTGAGTTTCCCTTTATTGTTACCAGGAATTACACCTGGGCGTGGGGAGTGTTATAGTTAGGTCTCGTGATACTTAGTTACACTTTTTTCTTTGCTGTCCTTTTGGTTGTTTTATTAGTGTTGTGTATGACCTGGGATAGCTATATTTAATGTATATTCATTTTATCATTTATATATATATATATGTATAGTTCATACGTCCATGGCTGACAGACTAGAGCGTTTGAGGGGAAAAAAGGCAGAGAAGCAGTTTCTAATGCGTGCATTGCCTCGAGGTGAGGAAACCACCTGGTTCAGTCTCTGTGCCCTGAGAAAGAAGAAGGGCAGGTTTTGGCTGCGTCTTAAGCTTTTTGGGTCGCTTTTGAGAACTTTTATCCACTGTCAGAATAAGTTTCCTGAGTTGTTCCGAGGGGGCAGGGGAAGCATCTGTTTTCTTCCTGAGATGCCAGTCCTTCGCTGTACACGTTACACGAGCTGTTTGCCAGCCCTGGGCTTTTGGAGGTCTCCGTGAGGGTTTGTGTGCCGAGCTGTGTGCGTCGCTGCAGGGAGAGAGAGGGAGTCTCCCAGAAGTGACTAATGGCTCTGAAACTTGTGCTCTTTACTGTGTGATTTGCTTTGTTAACTGCCATGTTCAACGTGCCTAGCGATGGCAATGTCCTGCCTACAGAAATTGCTCCTCAGTCCTGGGTTTGGAGCAGTAGTTGGTTTGTCTAGGCTTTTTTCGGGATAATATGGGTAATATAAATGAAAAGTTACTTCACTGTGTAACAGTGTTAATGGATATAGAAACATTACATAAAAATGACCGAGGTTGTATCTGTTCGTATTTTGCTGTTATGTATCTTTATGCTTATTCTGACTTCCAAGAGTTCAAATACCAAAACGTGCCATTGATTAAAGTCTAGAATAAAAGATTTTTGCAAAGATAGCAAGCAACCTGCTGTATTTTGTAGCATGCCCTGCTTAAAACTGCGTTTCAACCTTTGCTGCAGAGCACCCCTGCAACGTCGACCCCGGCCGCGCAGGGCCCGGGCCAGCAGCTGGGCCTGCAGCCGCCCTCCTACCCCGCAGCAAGTCAGCACGCGGAGCAGCCGAAGAAGCCTGGGCAGAACTTCATGTGTCTCTGGCAGTCTTGTAAAAAGTAAGTGGCTCCTTCACCTAACCACTGCTTACCCACCCCTAGGTAGCAGGTGCTTCAATACACAAAGGGCTGGTGCGACTTCTAGCCTTCAGTTCCCATAAGCTGCCTTAGGCTTTGTCATCGGGGAAAAGGGAAAGGGGAAAAGGGTGGGGAAGCTCAAGTGTGGGAGGGAAATAGCAAAATACAGCTGCTCTTAATTACCCTCAGAGCATAAAATGTGTATTTCTGGGCTCTCTTTTAATGTATTGATTTTCCAGTAAGAAGTATGTTCAGTGTTGCAAAGTAAGAAAACCCTTTCCCTAGCTCTGAAGCTGGTTCTCTGTATTGCAAATACAAAAATATTTACTGTGCTCTAGTTGCAAATCAGCCACTTTAGTTGTTTCTAGTTCTTAATGCTTGGCTTGTATTTCCAGTTTTGCAAGAGCAGGGCGTGCACTTCAATGTCCTGGTCAAAGTCTTATTTAGAATATGACTAATTTTAGTAATTAGGGTGCTATTTATTATGCCATAGGATTCCATCAGCATGAAAGGAAATAAATGCTTGAACCAAGGAACTTGACCTTAATACTAGGCAGTAAATTATTAGTTTGTTGTTGTTGTTTATGAGGATGGTGTTAAAAAGGGGGAAATGGGTGAACTAAACAGGCTTTTCTGGTTATATACTCAAAATATTGTGAATAGTGCTATGTTACCAATATTGATACTGATTTTTAAGCAAATACACCAATCCATGGCGTTTTAATTTTCAGTGCAGTGCTGCTGAAACCAGGAGAGCTGTCAAACAGGCGCTGTGGTGCAACAAGGGGGGGTAGCACAGCCCAGAGGGGGGTGGTGGAAAAGGGTGAGGGGCTTCCTTGTAGCTGCAGCTCCAGTGCAAAGGGGCCTTTGAGACCACGGATGCAGCAGGGAGCTGGTGCACAGGCATTCAGAAAGTAGAGGTGGAGCAAGAAAACAAACAAAACCTTTGGCACCGGTGGTGAAACGGAGAGGTAACTGAATGGAGCTTAGCTGAAAGCTTCCTGAGAGCTGCACAGGCCCTTGTGCTCATACAGGAGAGGGTCTGCTGGGGGAGAAAGGAGACACCAAGGCTCATCTCTAAGCAGCCCTGCCAGGTTGCAGCTGCTTAAAAAGCTGGTGAACTGCACTTGAGAACTGCAGGTTTGGCACCAGGGTCCTGTTGGGCCTTAAGCTCCGTGGGCTGCGTTGGGCAGAGCTGAGGGGAGTGCTGAGCAGGGCACAGCTCGGCCCCAGTCTCCTCTAATCTGTTTGTCCCAGCAAGTTTTCCTGAGAGCTGCAGTACCCCTATCTCACAGGTTAATTTTCTGATTTTTTTTTTCTTTTGAAGATGTTACTCCTTCTGCTTTAGTTTTTCCTGTTTTTTTCTTTTACAATACACGTTTTTGTTCATAATTAAGTCCCATTGTTTTTGAAAGCCTTCAGAGATTTTGTATTGGTGCCATCTAATCCTTTTGACACACAGCTCTTGTTCGTGCAGCTGCTGGTTTCAAATATTTGTTTCCGTATCCTGGCACCCCCACCCACAGCCTACAAGCTATTCAGATATATATTGCTCCTGCGTTCGCTGTGGTGAAGACAGAACCAGAGTGTTAATGTAACATCTTCATCTGATTTTATTTTAATCTTCATTTGCCTTCAATAACCCGATAAAAATAGCATCAAACCTCCTGTAGGCTTCCTGCTTCTAATAGACATAAAAACCCCTCACCTACTGTTGAGATGTGTAATGAAAACATTTATCTTAGCTGCTTTTACCACCTTGTTTCGGTAAGACAAAAGAAGAAGGGGTCATTAACCTACTTTTTGAGCTTTCCAAGCAGTAGTTGGTGTCCTTAATGTTTGGCTAGCAGTTTTTTCTCTAGCTGTTCAGCAGGCAGGTTCTTAGCAGCAGGATGGTAGAGCGGTGCCGTGTTTCTTTTGTGGTGTTTGTTGGCGTTTGATTAATCAGAAAGATAAAACAGCAGATGAGTTTTGGTACAGTTATTTGCACCCGTTTCTTTGGGTGTGTTTAGTGTGGTGCTCACAAAACATTGGCATCAACCTTTCCTTCCAGGGTGTGTGGCAGGAGGCTGTGAAGACCCCTGGTAACACTGTGCTGACAGTCAGAATAAATATGAAGTCCTCTTTCCCAGCTCCTAACTTGGCTGCTGTGGCGTGCAGAGGGTTCTTCAGAATTCAATCTGCAAACATTATACCAAGATGTTTAAATATAATATAGGTGCTAGTGATGTCGTACGTAGCGTGTGCATGATGGTAGTGCCTGAAGGCCTCAACCCCACAAGGGCCGGTTATGCGAGTGCTTGTAGTGATTGGGCAAGTGCTTGTAGTGATTGGGCAAGTGCTTGTAGTGACTGGGCTCTCCACGTGAGCTCTGGGCTGGTGTGTGAAGCAGAAGTAAAACTCTCCACACTGCCAGCCACAGGATTTGGTTGCATTAAGGCTGTAGCAGAAGCTAGGTGCTTCCCTTGGAAGTTTGGTGTCTGCAGGCGCCGCGGAGGGTGCTGGGCCTGGTTCAGGAGCTGCTGTTCTGTTCCCCAGCTGGGCAGGCCAGGAGGTGCCTGCTCTTGAGGGGCTTGCATCTGAACGTGCAGACTGGCACTGCTCTGGGGCCCGCACTGCCCGGCAGCTCAGCTGCAACGTGCATGTTCTGCTCCGCAGCTCAACTTAGGAGCAGCGGAGAGATTAAGTGGGAGGCAACAGGTTGAGACACAGTTCAGCTGACCGAGTCCTCAGTGCTTCACACCTGAAGGGCTGCTCTGTTCTGTTGCTTTAAGCCTTAGGAATAAATAGATATTTCTTTCTGAGTAAGTTTAAGTTCTGCAGGCTGATCCTGGAGGCTCTGGTTGTTTAGGTGTAGCGGGGAATGGGTTCTACCATGAATGACTTAACGTGACTGAAGTGGCTTTATTTTTCTTAAAGCATGTTGAACAAAATGTTTCAGACTGCATTTTGGGTTTGACTCGTGCTGCAGAATTTGTTGAATCCATGTCAGGGGTTATTCTGAGCTAGAGGTAAGTTTGCACGCTCCCCTTTACTGTGGGAAGGCCTTTTTCCATCCTCTGAAGCACCAGTTGTCACTGTTGAGCAAAGACAGATCTAAACCGTTGTGTTTTCACTGCCTGCTATGGGCTCGCCTGACCAAGAGCACGAGGCAGGAGTCTGTGCACCCTGCAGGCAGAGCTGACTGGTGTATGGGAAAGAGGAAGGTTGTACTTATTGCCTTTAATGAAAATAATTGCTGGAATATAGGCAGTTAGTGGAATAGGTTCAGCTTTTAACTAGAACGTTACCATAGGACCAACTTACAAGTGTCTCCAGATGAAATTAACTGTGGGGTTCAGGCACCGTAACCTAATAGGGTCTGGTCACCTGGACCTGCGTGTTGACCTGTGAAACGGTGGGTGTCATGAGCTGCCGTGGAGTGCCTGGTGGGGCCTGGAGGGGCTGGTGGGATGAAGGCACCTCCCAGGTTTGCTGAGAGCCCTCCCTTGAAGCAGCCTGTGACAGCCGAGGAGCTGCTGCCGCTGCGATCCCGACGTCCCGAGCTGGAGCCGAGCCCGTTCCTGGCACCGCTCAGCCAGGCCCCCTGACCCAGCTGCTGCTGCTGTGGGGCAGCCCGCGGGCCCCCGGCCACCCTGTCGCCCTCGGGGACCCCCTGGCCACGCGGAGCCGCTGCCTTACGGGGCCACTGGGTCCCGGGCCCGTGTGCCACGTGCTGCCGGCGCCCCAGGGCAGCCCCACGGCTCCCTAGAGACCCCAGTCCGGAGCACTTGATGAGTGTGTTAAAGTACATCTAGGCTAGAAAGATTCCTTTTTTTTTTTTTTTTGAGTTACTGTTTTCACAGAATAGATTTTAAAATCTGGTGGTCCCCTCTTGCCAATTTGATAAAAAATAGAATAGCTTCTGTTTTGTCTGCCTGGCAATTTAAAGAGAGAGATATAAGGACTGTCGACTTGACAGCTTTGTGCAGTTCGCGGTGAATTGTGATTTCCTCCACTTGAAAGGGGAAGAAACCTCTCAAGAGGGTGAGCTCCCTGTAAGGGGAGTGGTAGCTGTGCCTCCACCACGGGGAATATGGAGAAAATGCACGGGAAAAGTATGAAATACAACACTTCTTGGCTGTTGAGGGTTTAGTACTTTATTTTTGCTTGGATTGAAGAGATTTTGTTGAAAATAGCACGTGCTATTCCTTAGGTAAAGCTTAAATTAAGAAGAAAGGTCCATAATATTTAAACAGTGTTCAGCAAAATCATATTGGCATTTGTTGGTAACTAACTGGTAATATATGCAGACACATTCTGGCTTCTGTATGTTTATGCCTTTTCACTAAAGCATGTTTCTTTTCAGGAAACACATTTTAGCTGATATTGGCTTGTGGTACTTGTCCTTTACCACTAACAGGAAGGAAAAATTATAACTTTTTTTCCCCTCCCCCCCTGTTTTTGGCTTGCAGGTGGTTTCAGACACCGTCACAAGTTTTCTACCATGCAGCAACCGAACATGGAGGAAAAGATGTCTACCCAGGACAGTGCCTATGGGAGGGATGTGAACCTTTCCAGCGGCAGAGGTTTTCCTTCATCACCCACCTACAGGTGCAGATTTTATTTCACATTTTATAGTAGAAAACAGTAGGATATTCACAGTAAATCTTGAGGCGTTTTGCTCATGGCGTTCCTTTTTTCCCCAACCAGGATAAGCACTGTTCCAGAGATGCTTTGCTTGCAGGCTTAAAGCAAGATGAACTTGGGCCAGCAGGAAACCAGAAACCTCCCAATAAGTAAGAGACCTGAAGCCTCTTTAGGAGTGGGGAAGTGGGGGGAAACAGACCCTGTGAGGAACTTTGTAGAACTTGTCTATAATGTGGCTTGTGGAGTGCAGCTCTGCGTAACGGTAACAGTCAAATTTAGTGTCACTTAAAGCGATACAAAATGGGCGAGAGAAGAATTATGTTGTGTTGTGGCAGACAGAGCTGTGGCTGTGGAAAGCACAGGCAGTTCTTCAGGGTAAATTGGTCCGGCCTCCGTGACACACGCTGTTCTCCACGCGCCCTCCGGCTTTCCCAGGCAGGCGGCACTTTGTAACTTCTCCTGCAACACTGAAGTGCTGGTAATTGCACTGGGAGTTACTTGCTGTTTGCAGGGCAGCTGCTTTAGTGCTCCTACACTGCAGCTCACTCGGTCTTGTAGCTTGCTGGGTTCCTTCCAGATATGTGCTCTGAAATGGGTTGATCCAGGGATTCTTGTGATAAATGTCCCTTTAAACAAACAAACCAGATAGGAGGAAAAACAAAACCAACACTCAGAAGACTTATTTTTCCTTTCTTTTTTTGTGCTGTTAGCTGGAATCAGACCTAGCTCTCCTCTTTCACAAAAGGATTTCAATCTTGATATTTAATTATTTTTGGCCAGTGCAAGCCCATTGCTTGTGGGTTTCTGGAGTTCTCTTGGAGTTGCTCAGGGCTCAGGCACCTGGGTGTAACTGTGCTGAGACAGGGCTTGGTTGGTAGGCGAGCAGAGTCTCTCTTTTGCAAGGCAAGGATTTGATTTACAGGGTCTCAGGAAGATTTTGCAGCTAGTTCAATTGCTACAAAGCAGCTGGCAGCAGCAGAGGAAGGTAGCTGAGTGAGAGAGCTGAGAAATTTAGTTATTTTTTATTTAAAAAAAAAACCTCAAATCTTCTTAAACCTGAAGTGTGTTGCCTTGTTTCTTTACATGCATTCAGACCTCTGAAAACCACAGAATGAAGAATAATGATAATGTAGCCTTAACACCTCTTATCTTAACACCTGATAAGTGGGAAGCAAAAGGTTTTAATAAATCTCCTTCCATGATATGATCTTAACTGCCCTTTCAGAAATGTTCCGTCACACGGATAACGCAGCCAATAGCTCTGAATCCTTGCAGGATTATTTAGGTTGATGCACATGGGCCTAATACAAACAAAAATCTTGCATAGATCTTCTCTTCTACGGCAGGATCCCTCGATTGGGTCAGATCCAGAAGGCAGGGATTTATGCACACCCCATTCTCTCTTAAATCTTGAGACTAAGGATCTGATTTCAGAAGAGACAGAGAAGTAAGAGCTTCTTACTGGTCAAAGGAAGAGGTTCCTCTCTCCCTGCCATCATTTTTCTTTCTCACAGCTGTGCATTGTCATGGCTGCCTCCAGAGAACTGGTTTTAGCTTTGGTCTGATTGTAAAAATAAATAAAATAAAGTAAAATAGAATAGAATCAAGGAAAAAGTGATTTTGCCAAATTGAGTTGGATGGACTTATCTTGAAGTCAATTGAACAGCCATGCAAGGGGTTCCTGAAAGAGAGGAAACCTTTCTGTGTCAGCACCCAGTGTGTGTGATGGAACCCTCATGTGGAGCAGAAGAAATTGGAGAATTATTTCTTAGCTCTTCAGGTTGCAGGGCATTAACTCTTCTGGTGTTCAGAGGTGGCTGAATACAACATCCTGGAGGGCAGGGAGCACTAGCAAATGAGCTGCTCGGTGCAGCTTTCTCTGTTTGAATGACCATGGATTCACACAGTTGATTTCCCCCCTCTTGTTGCCACTGCAGCAAAGGTGATAACAGGACCTAGAAAAAAGTGTCCCTAAGGCAGCACGGTGTGGAGCAGGAGGTAACCTTTATTACAAGCCAAATGGCGTGGCTTGGCATTAAGCTGATAGTACAATTAAAGGTATGCAAGAACTCCAAACGTTTTTGGCGTTGCAAGCTCGCAGAGGCACCAGTCAGCCCAGTTCAGGTCTAGTAACTTGTTACCACCTTTTTTCTTCTTCTTAACAAAATCCTAAAGAGAAGACAGCTTTTTTAGTGTACCTCTGTGCTTAGCTCGTCAGAGTTGTGCCTCTCTCAATATTTCCAGAATCAAGGTAATAGTATTTCAGCTTTCTACCTCCCATTATGTTCCATATCCAAGAGGAACATTCAGAACAGCCTCCATAGAGGAATCTTTGTCCTTCTTAACAGGAAGAAAACAAAGATGTGCCACTAAAGCCACTAAAGATTTCAGGACAAAGTTGTGTCTGTTGCTAGTTCATCTCCTGTCTTGCATTACACGAATCCTTTTGCTCATTTGTAACCAGAATTTCTTCTTGTTAGAATTTCAAGTTATGAAGAAGTCTTTCCGAATACAGACCTCAGGTTTTAAGTCTAGAATTATCCATTTACCCTGAAAGACTAAACAACTTTGGTACAAACTAACTTTAAGTTTAATAAACAGCATATTTACACCTGCTTTATGCTCCTGTAAGCACTACTACACATTTCTAATACACTGAAATGTTCTAACCACATTCTACTAGAGTACTAGAGGACTTCATAATAATATTGTTCAATATACTGAAGCTCAGCGATATTTTTCACCAATGATGCCACAGTCTTTTCCTTGGAGATGGTATTATGACATTTTGACATTTAATAGAAAAGAAAACAGATGGAAGATGGCATATTTGCACATTCTAAACTGAAATTCAGGTTTTACATGAAATACAACTTTGACTTCAGTATTAATACTAAAAATGAAGGGGTTGCTTCTGCTATGCTTGCTGTCTGTAACAGCTTTCTAAAATGGCTTCGTTTATTAATCTCAATTTGAAAGCTGCTGTAACAGGCCATTGGTTTTACAAATGTTTGATCTGATTTAACAGTCACATGTTTTATGTCCTAGATGATAACTTAAATCATGTTTCTTGGAAGTGCTCCCCGCTAACCATGAGAAATGTGCGCTGTGTATTGTGCTCATGTGCAGTGGCCCCAACGAGCTGTGCCAGGTTTCAGCTGCCACGTTTTTAGGGCATTCTCTGGCCAAATCTCAGGTGACATTTGCACAGTCACACTCGGTGCTCCCATTAACCCCCGGCTGATAAGACCCCCGCAACCAAGTTCCCTTCAGGAAGGGTGGCAGTGACATTAGTACTGGCTGTTACTTTGCCATCGCCAGTACCATGGCTGTGAGCAGCACTTCCCCAGGAGAAGAGCTTTCCCATGCCAGACAAATGCCCGGGCTCTTCCCGAGCCTTCCCCCCAGGGCCGCCCTGGGTGCAGACGGGGGGCACATCAGCCCCACGCACTGAGGCCTCTGCCAGCGGAGGTTAAAAGCCTGTCAGCCTGCCTCGCTCCGCGTGCGCCGGTGCGTTCGGAGGCTGCTGTGTAACGCTGTGTGCGTCCCGTCGCAGGCCGCCGCCGGCGGGCCCCGCGGCGCCCGCGGCCAGGGCGCAGAAGGCCATCGTGAACCACCCGAGCGCGGCGCTCATGGCCCTGCGCAGGGGCTCCCGCAACCTCGTCTTCAGAGACTTCACAGTGAGTGAGCCCTGCGCGCGCCGCGCGCCGCCCTGCCGCCCCTCGCCGTGCTCCTCACCCGCCTCTCCCCTGGCTTCCTTTGCAGGATGAAAAAGAGGGACCAATAACTAAACACATCCGATTAACAGCTGCCTTAATATTGAAAAACATCGGTAAATACTCGGAGTGTGGGCGCAGGTAAGCGGCGTGCGGAGCACCGGAGCTGCAGTGCGCGGCGGGCCCTGCTGCGCAGGCTAAGGCAGGACGTGGAGAAGCTTTGCCTTTGGCAGGAGGTGCTGGGGCACTCTGAAAAGTGGTTTTCCTGTCAGAAATCTCCCGTCAGGAGGGCCCTCTTATCCCAGCCTGAGAAAGGGGTGAATTCCCTCTTCTCTCAGGTTCGTGCAGGGATGCACAGTCGTATTTTATAGCCACTGCCTCTCTTGCTTTCCCCTCCAAATTTGGGTTGATTCAAGTGAATGACCCCACCAGGTTTCCCCTGCTTGTATGACGTCCATCAGTGAGCAAACAGAACAGTACTGACTGACTGACTGCTGTAAGCAGGAAATGTTCTTTATAGTAGGGAAGGAAAAGAAGCTTCTCACCATGCCAGTGATCACAGTGCTCAGCACTTTCCTGACAAGTTACAGGCTGAGTATTTTCTCGTTTTTGCTTTGCTTTGTTTCACAACTTCGTTACAATGGAAGTGGTGATTATTTCTAATAAGCGTTTTTCTCATTCATGTCTAAAGCCTGGAAACTGGGAGTTTTCCTAGTTCTCCTTGTAAAAAGGAGTCTCGGGACTAGCTGCAGCTGCCTAACGGGGGGTCAGTGAGGGCAGAGCCAAACCCTCCTGGAGCCCAGGGAAGGGATGAGGGCCGGCGGGCACGGGCTGCAGCAGGGAAAAGCCTGTGGATGTCCCGGGGAAAAGGGAGCTCCGGGGGTGATGGGCCACAGGAACAGGTGCCCAAGGAGGCTGTGCAGAGCTGCCCCACAGGGCCCTGTGCAGGCCCACCCGGACACCCTTGAGCAGGGATCACACACGGAGCTTCCGGGAGCCTCTGGAGCCTCAGCTCCTCTCTCATCTCGGCATTCCTGGATTT